TTTTAAAAAAAAAAAAAAAAAAAAAAAAAAAAATCGAGAGGAAAGACAAAAAGCGACCGATGGAAGTCCGTGCGTCTGATCGATGGTATCTATCATACTGATGCCAGTTCGTACTGTTTCAGGTGCATCTGGTGGATTCTGAAAAAAAAAAAAACAGCATATGAATTAAGTTCTTTTGATTGTCAGAAAAGTGATATCACAGATTTCTTCCCCTTTCTCTTTCTTAGATCTTATCCTCCGCGGCTAATTCTCAGCGGTTAATTCTGATTGTTTGGAACAGTTAGTTATTATCTCCTGCTGTGCAACTGGCAACTTCCTTACAATAAAATTTTTTCAAATTCGACTTTGTCACTGACGAGTTCGGACGTTTTTTGGCATATGCCTTCGAGCTTGCGATGCTTTTTCGTTACTGCCTGTTGTATTGTCCAATGCCTATACAAAGTGTATTTCATTACCAACCGAATTCAGTTCGTGATGGTATTACTGATGAGGCCTCGCCACAACCTGGTGTTTCTTGGTTATATTCTGAGTTCTTATGTATTTTTTGACCGACGGTCGCAGAATCCGTAAAACTCGAATATCCTAGGGTAAAATGTTTCAGTCACAAGTTAACACGCAAGGAGCGCTTGTCTCCGATTGATCAACAAAAAGCTGAAGAAGCGAATGTCAGGACCACCATCAGACTGATCACCAGATTACGAAGCACTAGTAAAAGTGACAGGAACAGCTATTAGCTGTACAGATAAGGGAGAAGGCTATGAGTTATAGCTGATCAAAATATCTGAATATGAAAATTGTTTTTACAATTAACGATACTACGATACAAAAGAATATGAACCTTTCGAAACGAATCACAAGACGGTTGACCAACAAGATCACAAGCAGATTCGCGATAATATGTTGTGGAACCTCTTTTAAAGCACTGATAAGCAATGAAATCGTCGATGTAAGTTTCACCAACACTCAGTGGTCGGTCATTTTTGGTACGGCAGCCTGAAACCTAATACAAAAATTCTCATTTCTTTTATATTCTCCAAAGCAGTGGCCCCACATGTATCTGTTTCTCAGGATTTTCATCACGTAGTTCAAAAAGCCATTCTGACAAAGATTTAATATTCTCTCCTTTATGTTCACTTTGCCTAAATTCCATTCATCGCTGCGCAGCAGTCTTTCCTGTCCCAACCAGTCCTATTATTACCCACGTTTAATTATGATTAATACCTTTCTAACCTTCCTTACTCTACAGTTCAATGATACTTACTCCACTGCAATTTTTCGCATTTATCTTATATGAGCCGACAAAAATGCCCGCCCGCCCCGACGATTTGATGCTATTCGGTATTTATTTGCTTGTGTAGGGTTTGCGTTAAAATTCAATTCTACTTACCAAGAATGGTGTAAGCGCCCAGTTTCATACATTTGAAGCGCAAATGTCCGCTGGACCAGATTTCACCCTGCAATTCATATTTTGTTGATTGGACTACGTTTGACTGATAGGAATAAAATTAAAATTCCTCGAATTTTGCATAAATTCAGAAGCTTACTTGTTTGTACGTCTTTCCATCTTTGTGACAATCAATCGTCGATGGTACCATCTCACTGTCACTGAGGACCACCGTGGTACTGTTCCTGGATGCATATACTGGCCAAACTGTTATATTAGCTGTTGTCCGTGGCAAACTGCTAGCACACTTTACAACAATCAGTATTGTGGAAAAAGATAGGAGCAATTGATGATGATACATTGTTGCAATCGAATTTTC